CTAAATGCCCCGTGTCTCCAGTAGGTAGGTGTGTCCAGTTCAAAAGGCGCTGATGGAGTATGGACTCCCCCCAGGAGAAAGCACGAGGTGATTTCCCTCAAACAAATCGCTATGAATCGGAGGATCCCCCAATTTGTTGAATTCACACCCACATGGAGCCCACGAGCCACGTCCCCTTGCTGCTAAGATCTGCTGAGCCGTCGTGCCAAGGCGGTGTTGCAGGAAGTGAAAGACGCGGAAGGCCGCATAGTCCTCTTCATCGACGAGGTCGGGGGCCTGGCTACCTTGAGCCAGTCCGAAGTGCGAACTGGTTCAAACCGAAATCAAATGCCAAATTATCCTTATGTGTGGTTTGTGTTTGGTTGGTTGGTTGGTTGGTGTGTGGCCAGCACATGTTAGTGAGGCCAGGCCCGCGCTTCCCCCCCGGCCGAAGCTTGGGGTTCAAGCCGGCCGGAAAAATAAACGCAGCCAAGGCACAAGCCGTACCATGGGGAACCCAAGGCCGGCGCAGCTAAGACAGGGGCAGAGGGTGGAAACAGGGGGGCCGGAAACTGGGGGGCCTGAGCATGAGTAACAAAGAAAACGCAGGAACAGAAGCATGCAAGGCACCCCAGAACAGGCCCGGTAGGATGTGAGACCTTCCCTGCGACGACGGTCAGGACCATCCCCCCTTCCCGACGCAGATTCTCGATACAGAAGCGAAAGCCAACTGAAAGGCCAGGCGGAGAGCCGAGAGCACCATCACAGGTGGCTAGGGCCGCGGAGACTGTGACGGGGTCGGATTTACGTTGCAGGAAGCGGTACAGCCATCGCTTGATGCGACGGTTGCTGAGCACAGGCGGCTGAGCCACGCCATGACCGGCTCCTGGATGGACCTGACTAACCACCGACTCTATGTGCGCACTCAGGGCTGCCTGCAAAGGAGGATGAACTGGACGGAGAGGTGAGGCAGCAACTGCAGACAACCAAGAGAACGCACAATCAGGGCAGAGCTGAACGACGTGAGCCGCGGACGGCAGGTACGCTGCATGAGCACCACAGTTCCAACGACAGTGAGGCCGGAAGTGGATTGCAGCCACGACACACAGCATCCCCAAGCCCGTGACACCATGAGCAAGGGAGAGGCTCGGGCGGGGCCGGAGCCAGCCGCGCCCGCCTGCACGTGGAACACAGATCAAGGGCAGGGAGAGGGCCAGGAAGCGCAGGACAGGCGCACTGCGTATGAAGGATCTCAAGAGCAAAAGCCAGGTGACAGCGTATCCCCACTCAAGCGACATGCCGGTGCGGACCGGGACCATGGCTTGGGCCAACCGCACGATTTGCTGAAGGGTACGCTCCGAAAGGCGACATCCCAGCTCAGAGGACAGGCGTGAACACATAATTGCAGACGTTGGCGCGAGCCACCTCAAGGCACGAAGGGTGACAACCCCGCCAGGGGATGTGCTCCACGCCTGGTAGCGCGCCAGCGGAGAGGGGACACCTGGAGGGATACCTGCCATTGCTGGCTCGGGCTGCGGCGCCGAGCACGCTTGCATGGAGCGCACGCAGGACGCCACGAGCCCAGTCCGAGCAGAGTATTGCCAGCGAGCGGCCCGAAGACCACACAGCAAGACAGCAGTGAAATCAATAGCCGGCCGGAGCCTGTCCACAAGTGACCGGTGCCTGGCCTGCTCAGCGGCGCGCTGGGCAGAACTCAGAAGGTGCGCAAGGCCTTCAGCTGCGTCAGGCAAGGCATCATCCGGCACAGGCGTGCCCCGAGCTGCCTGGAGGATGGCACGACCGAGTGCAGCAGGTAAAACACCGCGGCGGGCGAGGTCACATTCCCCCTCAGCACATACTGCTGCCGCACTATGGCCCCCAGTGTCGGCAGAAAGAATGACTTCCCGGTCCAGCGTGGGAACAAGCCAGCCCCAGGCTGAGAGCAAGGGCCAGCGGGCCTGCACCTCAGGGGCAACGCTGCCAATGATCGTTCCCAGACCACGCGCCTGCACATCCCTGTGCCACACGTGTGCAAAAGACCATGGGCATTCAGCTGATCCAGCCGCTGTTCCAGCACATCGCGGAGTAGGTCGACCAACGGCTTCATGACAGAGCAGCTCATGATAACATGCCGAGGTGTGCCCGGCAAAGCCCTGCAGAGCGGGCAAGTGCGAGGGGAGGCAAGGATATTGCGCTCGTAGAGGTGGCGGGCAACTGACATGAGTTGCGGGTCAACTTTGATACGCTCAGTCCATCCGCCCCCAACGAGACGGACGCAGCGGAACAAGGTAACCGAGAGATCCACCGAAGGCTGATCATGCGGGAGGCGAAGTGGGGACGAAGCACCAAATCCTGGACAGGAGGTGTAGAAGGACATGTCGAGAACATCCGAGAAGACGCAGCCTTGCATAGCAGCGATTTTGCCCTGAACCGGGCGCTTCCGCCATTCCGTCAGAGCCTGCTGACGAAGGACGCCACGTATTGCAGACCGAGTGGGGGATATGACCATGGCCTGATGGAAGCAGAGAAAAGCAAAAGGGCCCCCAGACGGGAGACGCAGTCAGGAAGGGGCTGGCTTTTGGCGGCTGCGCACGCGCGGTCCTGCGCCTCATTTCCAAGCACAATGAGGTCCATGGGGACAGGGACGCCGGACTGGTGGCTTTTCACGTCCACCCCAACCAGACAATATTGGCAAAAAGGGATCTGGCAAAACCATGCGAGATGGCCCTCATGTTGCCGCCGCACGTTCCACTGGTCAGGGAAGGACGTCTGATGCATTCGCCATCCTGGAGTGCGACCAGGACAGCCCATCCAACCACGGCGGAGCCGGTCCAGTAACCAGAACACGCGACAGGCCAGTGGGGCATGAGCTGAGCGAAGGAGGGAGGCATCCACGTCGCGAGGGGAGGCAGCACGAAGAAGTGAGAAAAGAGCACTTCGGTCAGCGACAAATAGGTTCCAATGCCCCGGCTCAGCATGGCGCAGCGCAGAAATCATTCTCATTAGCTCAGCAGTGTGCACGGACGATGACTCCCGACCATAGCAGGGGGGCATACGGCAAGCAACCGCCTGAGTCACCACTGGGCAGGATTGCCAGTAGTTGGGGGGGAGGCCAAAGGCCCGAGCCTGCAAGCTGAAGGAGCACTGACTCGAGCCCGACGCGCTTCCATCGCTGTAGCGGCCGGAAAAGACGCAAAGGCATCCAAGAAAGACGTCCGAAGGTCTGCGCTCGCCCAAGGGTCCTCCCAGGAGTGGAGGCCCCAATCTTCAGGTAGAGGTGGCACAGCAACGCCAGGACGGAACAGAGCACACTCAACGCGCCAATCCCGCTGGCTTTCTGCCAATGCCTGAGCCACTGCAAGAGAGCACTCTGCTGGGGAGAAAGGAAAGGCGGCAGGAAGAACGTGACTCCACAGGGCAAGATCCGACCAAGTGGCCACAAAGGCCGCAAAGATCCGCCGCAACGTGTCGTTTGTGTTTATCATTTGTTGTATTTGTTCAATGGTTGCCAGAAGAGAAATCCAAGTTCAATCTTTTGAAATTTTAAGCAGTTGAGCGAGTGGCAAAGAGACGTTTGGTCTAGTGCTTGTAGGCCCAACTCATTTTGAAACCAATGAGCCTCATGTCTGTGGGTAAACCTTTGGTGGAACAGTTGATTCAAGCATGCAAACACGTGTTTGTGTTTGTGAACATATTTGTCACTTGTTAGGGGACCCCCAAAACAGTGGTTTGCCTTTTGGTGTCCCTTCAAAGCCACCAAAAAGTGGTCCCCTCAACAAACCAACAAACGGTGCCCCGATATATTAGATGTTTTGTGGCTTGGGAAGTGACACCCTCACTCAACTTCTCAGGGATGCACTTGGAGACTGGAATTCGCAGGCGCACATGCTGATTGGCGCTGGCAAGACTGACGGTGCCGGGAGCCATGGGTACTGAAGAGCCCGGACTGGGGGCTGAAGTTGTCTTTTGGTAATGTTTACCTCGGATGAATCCATATTAGTTATAGGTTCCCCTGAGAAAGCGATGAACCCGCACTGAAAAGGCACGCCCGGGAGTATTCATCAACCAGGGGTTCATTGATTTATCCTGTGAATCAAGTGAATTTGAATGGTAGCAACAGTTCGGACTCTTTTCTCGCCGTTCCTCAGGAAGTGGGTTTGGGTTTCCTTGGTTTTCCCATTCAACCAGCAAATTGACCGTGCAATAGCAAGGCTGGGCTGGACCAGCAACAAATTTGGGTCTGGTTCAATCCAATATGAAGCATAGTGTCAACATATTCCGAGACCGGTTTTCCTTTTGTTGGAAGGGGTTCCCCATTAATTAAAACTCAACCTCCAAGAAAGTTGGCCAGCTCCTGGTCCATTTCTGTGGAAATCTCCGGGTGTCCGGGTATTGTTGGGTGTACCCCGGCCTGCCCTTGCGTCAAGGCCATGGACGCGGCAAACCTGCTGAAACCCATGCTGGCAAGGGGCGAGCTTCGCTGCATCGGCGCCACCACCATGGACGAGCCGCTCGGTCGGGCTTGACGAAGCACGGGTCTAGGTACTCCCCGGGAAATTGACGTGGAACCCCAAAACTGATCAGAGCATCTCCCTTTGGAGGGGAGAATGCAACCCATTATTAGTACCTTTGATAGAGGATTGGTCCTCCCAGATATGCCTAAAAACTGGAACCCGAAGAATCAGCAAATTTAGGGAATCTCCTTTTACAGAACCCACTGTTCGGGTTCCATAAGACTGGAACTATCAGTTTTAGTGGAATCTCCTTTTGGAGAACCCACTTTTCGGGTTCCACCCAAAGTCCAGACTATTTGGAAACACACCCAAAATATGAGGCCACTTAGACGCCCCCCAAGCCCAAGTGCAGGCTTACTGCACGTGTTTTGTGGGTATCGTCCATGAGACGGACTTTCACACTGTGATGGTCATGGCCGAAATTGCCATGAGCCAAGGGGAAAGTTACTTGTAACGCAATGGTCAATTGCCCACTAGCCAGATCCGATCTTTTGCCCCGGTTTGTGGTAAGTGGGAGCCAGCCAAGAGACTACATTTCTTTTGACCTGACAGTGGTGATGCCGGCATGCCGTTGACAGTTCTTCGTAAGTTTGAGAAAGTCACATTGGTGACGGTTGAACAGTTTGTTGCAGGACACTTGTCACTTGCTACCACGGCGAAGCTGTGCATTCAAAGCTAAGGGCTCTTGCCCACCCTTTTTCCCATGTGGTCTTGAAATACAAAGAATATAGTCGGTGGATCCACTAGTTGCTTGTGTTTGTCTGTAACTTAATATACTTAACTGTGGGCAATATTGGAGTATCCAAGTGATTCCAAGGAAAGTCTCAAGACCCCTTTGGAAGACTTCCTCTCTGGCCCTTTGGGAGTTTCCATAACAATTCCAGGCGTCCACATGCAGTGCCATCCTACCTGATCCAGCTTTCTCTTGCCCCAACTTTTTGGGCGAGCGAGCCCAGGTACCGCAAGTACATCGAGAAAGATGCCGCGCTGGAAAGGCGATTTCAGCAGGCGGAGTGGAGGGCCCGGAGATTCAAGTTCTTCCTTTGTTCAGGAAATTAGCGAAAAACAAACGCCCACTCAACACAGTTGGGGTCTGCCTGTGGAATGTCCAAGCTTTTGAGAGCCAGGCCAAACAACGTCCACTTTCAGCTTTGCCAACAGGTTGAAGTCCTACGCGGGAAATCCACATTGCCGGCAGTGCTTCCTAGCACCCACGATGCGTCACCGAACATGCTTGTCTTCAACACTGGGCAAAAACCCATGTCTTCGGTCATGTGGATTTGCAAAAGAAGCATTGAACAACTTGGTGTGGCGTTGCACGTGGGGATGTTCGCGAGCCTGAAGACATCCTGGTTTCTTGCCTCATTGCAACCAAAGAGAGGATTTCTGCCCTTTTAGTTTTCCACAGGTCTTCGGTCAAGGTTCCAACCTGGTGAACCTGGGCAGCGCTTGCTCAGGAGTGTCCCTTTGAATCAAAAGGTGGTCTTTTTCATTAGGGCATGAATCTAAAAGGGGACCCGGACATTAATTCCCCCTGTATCTCTCATGTCCACCAAAGGATCCCATACCCGCGTTTTTGCGAGGAAGGACGGTATCCGGCGGTTCTTGGGGTGGGTTTCGGAGGCTTCCAGCCCGAGCCCGCCCCAAAGTGGCCCGCAGCACAACATTGCCGAGAGTTGAAGCATTCCAAGCAGCCGCTTCTCTGTGGCAAAATCCGGGGCTCCACTCCACTCGTCGCAAAGCGGCCGGCGATCGATCGCTTCCATTGCAATGCCAACGAGGTTTTGCCGAGGAAACCCCCGAGCGCCGGACGGGGAATTGCAAAGGTGGCGGCTTCTATTGTGGGGAATGTCATTGACCAACTTTCAATTGCGCTGCGCTGTTGGTTTAGCTGCTGGTGATGGTTGAGCTTTCCATGTTGAATGTGGATTGAAAGCTTTCAAAACATGTTTTGTGCTAGCTTCGTGAGCAAATGGAAGGGTTGGCAAAGGCCAGACTTTATGTTGTGTTTTGCATGTTTGCTTGTTTGCCTTTCCGTATGTTCTCATCGACTGGCTATTGATTGGATTCGTCGCAAGCGCTTTCAATCTGTCAAGGGTATTCAAGGGTGGAGAGAACATACCAGCCATTGAGTCCCAGGCCATATATGTCATTGTTTCCATTTGCGGGACCTACAGAAGGTGTGGTGTCCCTTTGGTTTATCTTTGGGGTATGTTCTTTGGCCCCTGCATCTCCCCATATAACCACTGACTTTGGGGTATGTCCATTTCGAGTGAGCATGGCCAGACCAGACTTCTCTATATAACCGTTTTGCCTTCTTGCTGTTTTGGGTTTCCGTTATTTCCCTGAAGACACAAGTTCACATGGCTGTCCAAGTAGAACCCAATAAGTCCAATCAAAGAGGGTACCCTCAAAAGGCGCAGCCAATTGGGACTGCCATAAACTCGAATTCACGAAATCGAATCTGGAGGTGCATGTAGACGAGCCCTCGGTGCCGACGGCCATCACCATCCTCCGCGGGCTCAAGGTGCGCGCCTGAAACCCAAGGGCCGATGTGTGGTTCTATCTGGTTTTAGGGTGTTAGTAAACCTATGTGAACCTTTATATTCTATTGGTACTGGTAGAACCAACTGTCACAGTCAATGGGGTTTGGGGGTTTTAGTAAAATCTATGTGAAGCTGGGTTTACACTCAAACTGGATGGCTTCCCGTTGGTTTCCCTCTTGCACAACCCAAACATGGTGCCATCAAACAAAACACACCCTACTGGATGTTCAGTTGCCCTCCCACCAACAACTATGTCTGTGTGCAAGGCTCGATGCTTCTCGAAAATGCACTTGGTCTTCCAAGATCTGTTGGTGGGAGGGTGAGTGGCTTGCTTGCTCTTTGGTGCGGACGAGATCAATCTAATTCGTGGACCAAACGATTGTTGCCCAACTAGTGTTGACCCGGAATTGATCAACCTCACGTGCAAGTTGGGGATGTTTTTCCCAAAAGTGAAGCGCCCTCTTTGATGGTACACCCTCCCAGCAATCAACTGGGGGGTTCTTAGTGCGTCCCGGCTTCTCATGAGCTGACAAAGACTTCCACTTGCAGGGCGTAAGTTCAGAAATCTGGATGGCCTGTGATTTGGCTCATGTCTAAGAGCCACATGTGCTGGCTGATTTAGAGTTATTCGCGGGGGGGGGGGGGGGGGAAACCTGCCGACAAGGGGATTGGAACACCTGGGCTGCTTTCAACTTGGGCGTTTTGCCGTGAGCGAGGACTCACCTTTTATCAATTAGGCTCGTGAGAAGCCGGCAGCCCTGACAGGATATCCTAGATGTCCTCTATCAACAACAATCCATTGGGAATCTTGCTTCAAGAAGGCTCACTTGATCTGCATCCAACACCCGTTTCCTTCTGGTTCTACCAAGCCGTGTTCCTGCTCGTTGAGTTCGAGCATTGCCCGCCAAGAAAGCAAGTGCTTTACTGACAGCTGACTTCGCCCTTTTGCTGTTCGCAGAGTCTCTCCTGTTGGCTTTTTCCCAGCCATGCATCGTTCTGAGCTGACGACTTGGATGTTGGTCAGGATTTCTTGGTGATGGGTAGATCTGGGATGTCAAAGGAGCGTGAAACGTGGGATTGTTTCACTATGGGACCCCAAACATGTTGTTTTTTTGTTTTTTCCATTTGGTGTCCGTTTGGACACCAACCAGAACGGGTCCCAAAAGGATCGCCGATATTCTCACTTGCCCACCGGCCCTTTGATCCTTTGGGAGTTGATAAATGAGGAACATGCCAGTCAATGCCTCTAATACACGACAGGCGTACAATTGTATAACTTGAAAACATTTTGCGTCTCTAAACTTCATGACAACCAACAGCTACATCATTTTCAAACATCCCTCGTTTCTTCAAACCAGGCGTTGAGCATAGAAGTCGCTCAAGCCAACGCTCAGTTGCTCAGTTTTGCCAATTGCCCCCCGCTCCCGCCGGCGCGGGCAAAAGTGACTGAAGATCTCATGTTTCTCCAATGTCCGCTTGGCAACTAAATAATGCCTCCGGACACCCTGTCAAAGCTTACTCTTCAGAGGGAGTTACTTCCTTGGTGGAGTCTTTGCAGGGAATTCCTTGGTGGAGTTATTTGCTAGGGCGTCAAAAGTGGGCCACCAGGAGGAAACCTCTTGTTTCAGACCCCTGTTTGCCAGCCAGATTTGCTTCTATCCAAAAAGGATGTTGCATGACAAGCGTCGATCCAACCATTCGGACCTGGTATCGGTGTTGTTGGCATTGCCTTTTGAGGCTACCTTTGGAGAAAAAAAACTGGGGTAAAGCGAGCTCACCCACAACAAAGGTGCCTTTTCTAGGAGGATTCATTATACGTCAATTATAGTAGTTGCCCAGATATGTGCATCTTGGAGGCGCGCCTAAGTATGAGATTCCCCCATCCACTAACATGGGCCCCAACAGGCGCGTCCTCCAAGACAATTTTTCCAAAAGCCACCCGCGCAAATTGTCGCTTTCCTTTTGGATTCCCTGTGAAACCAACTAAAAGGCTTCCCTAAAGAAGACACACCCATAAATGAAGAATACCCCAAGAACACCGCCCCTCCCCCCTTCCCCCTTCCCCCGCCCTCAGCGCCCTCCGCGAGGAGCGCTACGCGGCGCACCACGGGGTGAGCATCCAGGATGCCTCGCTGGTGGCGGCGGCGCAGCTCTCGGATCGCTACATCACCACCCGCTTCTTGCCCGACAAGGCCGCAAAAAAAAGAAGAGGAAAACAAAAAAGGGAAAAAAACGCGCCGGGGCGCCCACATAGCTGTGAAAACGCGCGGGTGAAAGTCGATGAACTGGAATTGTATTTTGACGTGCAAGTGCCATGCATACTCTTGATCAAGCACATACCTTGGCCTTTTTGCTAGATGACGTTGGGGAGACCTGATTTGTGCAGTAGATACCCGGGGCCTTGTGTAAACATGTCCATACTCCCTAGTACCCATTATCTTGGGCTATTTAGTTCTGACCAATAATAGCAAGTTGAGTTGTTTTTCTTTTCCGCAGGGGGCGCTGTCGCCACCAAGCTATCAAATACTGTTTCAGAGCCACACAAAAGCCAAGGTCAAGTCGCCTAATCCCTAATGAGCTTGCAATGGAGGTGGGGGAAACGTCTGGAGGGTGTATGCCAGGGTCCCGGGGTTCAACCGGTGAAAGCCATGGTTTAAATACTTTCCGGTTAAGCCGTGTCCTTTGGTTCCCTATTTAAATGATGTAAGGGCCTTGTTGACACGATGTTTGCCCCCAGAGGAGTTGTTTCGCATGGCACTGGCTATCTCTTGAAGATAGGACTTTTTTTCCATGCACCCAAAAAGGTCGCCGGATCGAGCAAAGCCGCAAGTGATCATCTGCTGCCTGTGCTGCTGCAGGCGGCCAGCGCGTAAAGGGGCAGGAGCAGCGTCCCTGTAGGCCGCGACCGCGCGATCATGCACAGACGCTATTGATCGAGGCCGAAGAATACTTCAAGCGCTGTCCGGCTTTGGCGCGGTCCTGGGAATCTATGGCATGGGCTGGCCATGGGCGGAGCCTTCGTTAAGCCAAACGATTTCCCTGAGACTACACCCACGAATGAGCCCGGTTTTGTTAGGCGACTACTGCTTCTGTTGTTTTGATTGCTTGGGGCCATGTGGTGTTCAGCAACCTTGCTCGCTGCCACTGGGGTGGGTAACCTTTGGTAAACCAATAAGGTAAAACATTAAACAACCCTATGTATGGGTCGGGTGCTCTAGGGTTTGCTTCTGGTTTTGAAGTCTCCTTTTCAAGGGAAAAACAAAACACCGACGTGGGGTTTTCTGGTCAGCCTTCGTGAAGGCGACACCCGACGTTAACTTCTCGAGGTGATGTAAACGATTTATCAACGGTCCTGAAAGATACATTTTGGCCCCGGGACGTTCTCACATTGGTTCGTTGCAGTTCCAATTCAAACTGCACCCACTGGATCCAGTTACCCCTATCACCAGGATTTAGAACCCTCCAGGTGTCACCTCATTGATTTTCTCTTGGTTACATAAGTTCCCTTGGCTTGGAGGTTGACTTGGCTTCCTCAATACTTTTCCCTGTAGTAGGTTCCCTCTAGGTTTCCCTTTTTGGGGTCGGTGGAACCGGCGTCCGATTTTTTCGCCGGAGGCGGTGGACCTGCTGGACGAGGCCTGCAGCAAGATCCGGGTGCAGCTCTCCTCGCAGCCCGAGGTGCGGCAACTGGTGCGATCCACAACCGGGGAATCGAGGGACTGCAAAAAGACGCGTGTTTTGAATTTGAGGCTCTTAGAGTTTAGGCTGGACCCCTGAAAAAGGCTGGTTTCAAAAGGCTGGTTTCAAACATTTGTGTTTGGAGTTGTGTCCCCTTAGGCTGGTTTGAACCCCCGAAGGGTGGATTCTTTGGAAACCTGGAGAAAACCCCAAAAGCATTTGTTCAAGGTTGGAAGCTGGATTTGCAAGACTGGACATGTTTTTAGGGAGTGGGGCAGATTGATTTGAAGGGGGCAGCCAATAGGGCAGCCGGACCCACAAAAGAAAGCCAAAGCAATCCAGGCAATGCGTAGGCAGACCTTTCAACTCTGAAGCAGAGCCAAATGGATTGGGTCTTCTTGTATTGGAAATGTCCATCGCACGTGTCGTGTTCGTTCCACCTGTTTTGGTCCCTTTGAACAACACCAACCAAAACAATGTAGCCTCTGAACCCTAGTTGCTGTTCGTAAAAGGAGAAGCGACACCGCAAGCTTGATATGTTCAGGGCCAGGCTTTCACCGAGGTTCCCTTTTCGCTGAACAAAAGCAGCTGTCAAATGCTTGGTCAATTCAATTGCTTTTGTAATGAGAAACAGGCGGAGCATCAGTCGGAGGATCGGCAGAGTTAAGGCGTCTCAAAGTCCACCAGGTCAGGCGAAGCACTTGCTCGGTTGCTGAGTTGTTGCAGTGCTTGGTTTTATGCGTTTGTTTCTCCGAAAAGTTGTGAACCATTTTCTGATCAGGCAACCCTGGATTGGTGGTTTGGATTGGTGGTTTGGGGACTTGAAATTCTGGGTCTTGTAGATGGTAAATCGAAAGCCACCCCCAACCACATCATTCAATCCAAAGCACGAATCAGGGGTCAGCTGATCTTAGAAAGTGTATGTGCAGCTGCGCGTTTCTGCAGGTGATGGATGCATGGGAAACCGAGGGGGGAAGGCCGACGGTTGACCGCCGACCATGGTGCACTTGAGCAATCTTGATGGTCGCTTTGTGCGCACACTGTCGGATTATCTCAAGTGGTTTCCACTTTCTTATTGTTGATGGTTCAGGGTCGATTGATGATTTCGAGTTCCATTACAAAAGCAACTGGCAATATTGTTGCTGGCACACTGTTCGTGCGGGATCACATTTGGGTGAAAGGCACAATTCCCCATGCTGGCTGGTCATCCTTTACTTACCCATAAAAGGAGTGCGCCATTTTCTTCGCCTGGTGCTTTAATCCAATGTCCCACAAACAGGGTGGGGAAATTCCCCATGTCGGGAAGCAATTAATCTGGGGTCGACATTCGCCATCGATTTTGATCAGGCCATTGACACCTTGGAGCGACGTCGGCAGTACTTGGAAGTGGAGGCGGGCTCCGCCTCGACTTGCATCCTTTCCTTGGGTTCGCCGTATGGCAGTGGGGGCGAGCCAAAATGTTCGCATCTCATTCAATTGGAGACGTTTTCACACATAGTTGACTGATACAAATGTAAATGCCCGTGTAAATGATGTCGACCAAAGGGTATCAAAGGGTCCAACATTTCAAATGTCATGAGGACCCAGGGCGATATATGAACCGTTCCATAGTGGCAATAAGCTTCAGGACGATGGAGCTGTGAAAAGCAATTCAGGCAGTACCGCGTTCCCAAACTTACCAGCACATTGAGGTGTTCCGAGTTGCTCTTTCAGAGACCAATGAGTGGACTAGCCTATGTCTCAATTGGAGTTGAAAGCTAGTGAGCCTTCCTCTCAGCTGGCGCTAAGCATTACAAATTGAGGTGGCATGATTTTCCTGTACCCTTGAAGTAGCATGTCAATTGGTGAAGCCAAGTTGTTTACCCTTTTGTTCGCGCATTGCGATTAACTTGCTTGCAACATGGAAGTGTGTGTTTTGTTGGGGGGTTGCCTGGTTTAGGTTGGTTCAAAGGGAAGCAACAGTCACGGCAGCCACGGTTTAACTATGTGCATTACCCTATTTGAAGACGACGCCATATGAGAAATACCCACATATGGAGTTCAATGGCAGCATTCCCAAGCGCACTCCAGAAAGGTTGGTGGGCATAAATGCCACAGTACGTCTGACGTCCATGTTATGTCTATATATAATTTAATATGATATAATACAACATATTGTAATTTGATAATACATATATATATATATATGTGCTATCCCCCCCCAAAGATCGACCATTTTCTGTGTTTTGAGAAAGATGCGGTGCATTATTGCAAGAAACAGATGTGCATATGCTGGGGTCGACATTCAAGTGCAGTGTTGTTGAGGACGGTTACAAAATTGCGCACCTGCCAGGGCTGCAACTCTGCAAGGCTTTGCAAAACTGCAGCCCCTGGCAACCTGCTTTGCAAAACTGCAGCCCCTGGCAACCTGAAGTTTCAAAACTTCAAGAGTTTCCAAGACACTGCCCAAGCAAAGCTGCCAAACTACAGACCTGGCAAAGCAAGTCTGCTAAACTGCAGGCACTGCAGGCCTTGGTTGCAAAACAGACTTGGCAGGGCTTCAGCTCCAACACTGCAAGGCTTTGCAAAACTGCAACCAAGCAAAGGTGCCAAACTACAGACCTGGCAAGGTTGCAAAATTGCCAACCTGCAAGGTTCCAACACTGCAGGGCCAGCTCCAACACTGCAAGACTTTCCAAGCAAGTCTGCTAAACTGCAGGGCCCTGGCAAGGTTGCAAAATTGCCAACTTGCAAGGGCTCCAACACTGCAGGGTTGCAAAACTACAGCCCTTGCCAACCTTGCCAACCTGCCAAAGTTTCAACACTGCAGGCATCCCACTTGCTGCAAGGTCTGCCAAACTACAAATAAGGCTGCAAAATCCAAACTGCAAGGCTCCAACACTGCAGGAACACCCAACTGCAAGGCTTTTCAAGCCTGCCAAGCAGTCTGCTAAACTGCAGAGCAAGGTTGCAAACTACAACCTCTTGCTAACTCAACACTGCAAGACTTCCCAAGCAAGGCTGCCAAACTACAGACCTGGAGGTTGCAAAATTGCCAATCCAATCTGCAACCAACTGCACCAACACTGAACTACAGACAAGCGAGTTCAAACAGAAGTTCCAACACAGGCCTGTTTGCAAAACAAACTTGGGAGCTCTGTCTGCCAAAGCTCCCACACTGCAAGGAAGGCTTGAAACTTGGTTGCTGGCCCAGCGCAACATTCCACAATTTCCAGCAAGGCTGCCAATCTGCGGGCAAGGCTGCAAAAAACTGCAACCTGCCAACCTGCCAAGTTTCAATACCCTGGCAAGGGTTCTTGCCACCTGCTACAAGACTTCCACCACTTCGAGCACACTGCCCAAGCAAGCTGCCAAACTGGGTTCCAGCTCAAAACTGCAACCCACTTGGCTAGAGTTGAACACTAAGGCCACTGCAAGACTTGAGCGCCTCACCTGCCAAAGTTTCAACACTGCAGGCTTCAGGTCAGAATCTGGAAAAGTGAAAAACCTCGAGAAAATCAAAAAATCAAAAAAAAATGAAGGCCTTGAGAGAGATAGTCACTGGGTGTGGGCATTCTGCTCCAGGACCTTGATTTGTTTTGCTTTCTTCGAGGTTTATTCACTTTCCGAGATTCTGACCTGGAAAAGTGAAAAACCTCGAGAAAATCAAAAAATCAAAAACATCAAAAAATCAAGGCCTTGAGAGAGATAGTCACTGGGTCTGGGCATTCTGTTCCAGGACCTTGATTTTTTTTGATTTCTTCGAGTTTTATTCACTTTCCGAGATTCTGACCTGGAAAAGTGAAAAACCTCGAGCAAATCAAAAAAATCAAAAACATCAAAAAAATCAAGGTCACTGGGTCTGGGCATTCTGTTCCAGGACCTTGATTTTTTGATTTTTTGATTTTTTGTTTTCTTCGAGGTTTATTCACTTTCTGAGATTCTGACCTGGGCATTCTCTCCCAGGACCCTGATTGTTTTGATTTTTTGACTTTTTGTTTATTTCTTCGGGTTTTTTCAACATGTTCATCCTGTGCAGCCAAAAGGCAGATGCAAGATGAAGTTGGGAAGCCAGAAGCCCGAGACCTTGCAGATTCTGGGATGTGTCACCAGAGATAAAACACAGAAAATGGTCGATCTTTGGGGGGGGGTACCATATGTATATATATATATATATCGATGTAAACGATACATACATACATACATACATACATACATACATACATACATGCATGCTTACATGCTACATGCAAACATAACACACAGACATACATACATACATACGTACATACGTACATACGTACAAGCGTACATACGTACATACGTCCATACGTGAATACGTGCATACGTGCATACGTACATACGTACATACGTACATACATACAGACATACATACATACATACACACATACGCACATACGCACATACGCACATACGCACATACGCACATACACACACACACACACATACATACATACATACATACAAACATACATACATACATGCATACATATATATATATATGTAGATGTACATTCATACATACATTCATACATACATACAAGCATACATAAATATACATATACATATATATATATATATACACATATATATACATTCACATACATATATATGTACACCTTCAAAGTTATGCCCAGGTGTTTCCTCCAATTCCCAAGCGGCGCCCGCTTCGCTCTGGGTTGAATTATCGAATCGATTTCAGGTGAAGGCCCTGAGCAAAGAGAAGGATCATGCCTCCAAGACCCGGTTGCAGGAGGCGTGTCCTTTGGCTTCGCTCGAACTGCCCCGAGGGCGAATTGACCGAATCTAACCTTTTGCTTGCCCTGACGTGGTGCATATGTTATGTGAAAGTTTTAAAAGGTCGTCTTTTCATGTCCAGGTCCGTTGGGCAAATTACTGTTTTGATTCTACCAAGTTTCCGCTTGGAGGTATGCCAAACTGGTCCCTTGCTCCACATGACTTTTGGGGTGCTTGCCGTCACACCACCATTGAGAGTGTTCAATTTAGAGGCTTGTCATGTCCTCCGAAGGACAATAAGGAGGACAACACAAATCCTTCGGGGTCAAAGGTGGGGAGTCGTTTCACAATCGGGGGCCCGCGGATTCACATGGTTCTCCGGATTCCGACATGAACATAAACCAGTGGAAGGGGGGGCTTTGGGGTTTTTGTTAGGGGGTTCGCACCCTCTGAAGATTTGCCAAGTTGAATGGCAAACCAGCTTGGTGCGTTTTTGTTTTTCCAATCGTGCATCCACCACCAAGTAACAAAAAAGGGGGTGTGGAATCCTTCAGGGTTGAGCTGAGTCCTGTGTCATAGGACCCGCCATGTACCCTTCAAGCGTTCACACGGCTCACCCATTGGGCAAAATATGTTAGGCTCTGGTCCCCTTACAGAAAACGAAAGGGGGGTTGTTTAAACAATGGTTGAGTCATGTTGAAACAAGGAGTTGGCCCAACCCTGCATATCAGCTGGTACAGCACGCCAAGGGATTTGGAATCTCAGTGAAACGTTTCCGGGGTGCATCCAAAATAATGTGCGGAGGATTGACAAACTCTTGACCGTACCAGTACCGGATTCATAGGGGGATGCCCTTCTTTAGAGGAGCCCCGCAAATCTTCCAGGCTCCACTGGAATCCGGAGCTCAACTTTTGTTTTTTGTGCGATGATCAAAACTCTTTCTAGACAGCCGTGACAGGAATTCCCGTTGAGGAAATCATGACCATGGCTCAAAAAAGTGTGTGCCTGTTTGAAGGCACCCATATGATGTGTTTATACAATTTTTCCGAGAGCCGTTTAGAGAGAAGCCAAATGAGCCGCAGTCAAAATGATTTGTTTCTTGAAGAGGACACTTCGGAAAATGAGTGAGCTTTTTTGGGGGAAATTTCGTTGGTCTTTCATGTCGCTCCCAAAGGGACCATAGTCCGCCAGATTTTCACCGACAAAGTCGCCCGAAGCCAAAGGCCCAGAAGGAGCTCTCGCAGGTGGTCGAGGAACTGGCGCCCTTAAGGGCCAGGTACCAGCAGGAGGGAGCCGCGGGGGAGGGTGGGAGGGCGGGAGGGCGGGAGGGCGGGAGGGCGGGAGGGCGGGAGGGCGGGAGGGCGGGAGGGCGGGAGGGCGGGAGGGCGGGGAGGGCGGGAGGGCGGGAGGGCGGGAGGGTGGGGTGGGGACGACTAATCGGTTCAGTTTCTACACGTTGAGCGTTTTGTTGCCAGCTTTCTTGACCATTTCAGTCGCATGGGCACCAAAGCTTCCGTTGTTGGAAGGGTTAGAAGTTCCCTTTTGCGCAGTCAAGTCAGAACATATACTGAATGTTTGGTGCATGTTGCTTGGAGGTAAGGACTGTAACTTTTTGCCAACTAATTGGTTTTCTATTAGTCCACTAAAAGTTAAACTCTTAGCAGGGGAGCAGAAAGCAACCGAGGAATGTATGGGCTTCTGGTTTTTCTATTTGAGCATGTTGTTCAGTTCTGGATAGTGATCCCGTTGATTCCAGGTCTGTTGGCAACTCGGTGTAGCATCATTTAGAATCGTCCACAGTTAGTGACTGTGTTTGTGAACTGTTCTTTGGCTAGTTTTCCTAGACAGTCCTTCCCAACCATTTGACATTTGAATGATCAAGGTATGTCTTAAATGATTCACCTGAAGAGTCAGCTTGATCATACTCCTGAAGCACTGCTTGTTGGGTGATGGGTTGATTCAAGTCTTCTTTGGACGAGGCAATGTGTCAGGGGGACTATTCTTAGGTATGCCCAACCCTAAACCTTCGGACTGCACAACCAAGCTGCCGAAGAAGGTCACAGAAGCGTGCAAGGGCGGGGCCTTTCTGAACGCCATGTCTGCCTTTGCCACGCCCTTCACCAAGTTTCCTCGCAGCGCAGCGGTGCCACGATACATCACCTGAAGATCAAATCCCATGCGCAACAAGTCGCGGACAGACGCTCCAAGTGCTGGGCCTTCTCAGCCTGAAGCCTCGCAAGCTGCGAATCAATTGAAGCGGTCTTGCAGGCCGAGAGCTTGGTATTCGGACGTGACCGCCCAGCTGAAGCTGACATGGAATCTAGACCTAAAAGGGCGGCCATTTCCCCAAAGGAGATTCCACCGTTCTGGGATTTCATGTTGAGCTGCAGGGGAATAGGTCATTTGGAGCTTTGTTTATGATGTGACGCTTATTTGAGTTCCCTGTGATGGCCGCACCCCCAACTCAAAGTGAATTGGGTGTGTCTCAAACTTCGGGGACCCAACAAATGGTTGGTTTGCCAAACGGGTTCCCTTTCAAGCCAACCAAAAGGGCCCCCCTGCCCCCCAGCCCCACCCGCAAGAAAAGATTCTTGCCCTCTCGCCACTTACCTTGGAGATGCTGATGCCAACGGCGGGCACCAATTTCACTACGGCTGTCTTAGCACTTTTGATGCCTTTGCGATTCAGGGTTTCCTTACCTCCCGCTTGTGTGTTTCCATTCGCCGGTCTAGTGCCACTTTTTGGAAGATTGAGTGAGGGAGTCATCCAAACCCGTCTAGGCCAGGGAGTATGGCAGGAAAACAAGAACTGCCCACTAATTTTGACCTGGATAATATGTCAAAATAGGGAGACCCCCCAAAAATTGTGGATATTATTTTGGGTTTCGTTTAAAAACCGAAACAAGTTTGCCTTTAACAAAAAAGAACTCCTTGGCTCCGATCCATGGACCGCTGGCTGTTCAGGAGCGGGAGCTCATCGATGACTTGTCACTTGCCTGCACTCAGTGTTTATTGCCCAAGGCAGGGAGTGATTTCTCATTCCCACCCCCAATTCATGTATCACCACGAACACAAATTGTGTGTGTGTGTGTGTGGGGGAAACATCCCACACACCCGTATTTTGTGTATCATGGGATTGTCGAGTGTAAAGTCAAAAGCTTGCCTTCATCCTCTAACCCCCCGTTCGCACACATGCCATTGGTCTCCGTTTGCGCGTGCGGTGCAAAGAACAGTAGATTTGAGGGGATCCTTGCGAGTGGTAATCATTCCTCACCTGTTTGCAAAGGCGCAGGCCGGATGGTCGAATGCCCCTTTGGAAAGATCGTCTAAAGTACCTGTACGACCAGGTTGATGCGGCCTGTTCTGGCACTCGACTTGGCAAACAGTGCAAGTTTCACAAGGAAGCTTCTGATTCCCCCAGTTGGCACATCGATGGTTTAGGAACAGAAGGAAAGGAAACAACGGACCGTGATTCCCCTTGCTTGCACATATGCACTGTTGCACCTAAAAATTGCATGTCATTCTTCTTAGCTGGAACATGAGTTGCAGCTCAGATGTTGATTTTTCACGAGTGCCTGAGTGTCCTCTCCCGTTTTTCTTGGGCTTCTTGGCCGAAATGACATCCCGGTGCCCCCGACTCCAGGTACCCCTCAACTGCTGGTTTGGATTGGTTTTGGAAATTTGAACCCAAGATGGAAAACCAACCCCCAAGCCACCGAGCCAAACCAATGAGCGGGAAGCTGGCAGCTGACTACTTTGCTTTAGGAGCAAAGCGAAGACCAAGTTGCAGGACCTGAAGCGGAAGTTGGACCTCATGGAGGCGACTGCAAACCTACACGCATTCTTCCTGGAAAACCCCGCAATTTTCCGTGCCCTCGTGTTTCGCGATGAAAATGATCCAAGTCCCCTCTAAAAGCGGATTGCACTCCTGTGCCTCAATCAGGGATTGGGTTATGCCTGGGTTGCCAGAAGCCGGAAACCTGAGGGAAGCCCCCGAATCACCAAGTTCCTCTTCAAGGGCCCTGTTAATTAGATGTTAAAGGGAGTTGCTATGCTGGGTGAGGACATAATACGTCTGTTTCCAAACAATGGGCCGGGGGGGGACGGAGTTTGCAAAACGTGGATGGAGTCCAAGAAGGGGCCGTGTGCCGATCCTGAAAACGATAGCGGTTCATGCCAATGGAGTGCAACCTCCAGCCGATGGGATTCATTGGAGAATTTCATGGGTGTGTCTCCCAACAACGGAACCACTGGAATTGCATTTGTGGCAATCCATTTTCCTTTGTGGGGACCGCTGGAAAACGGGATTGGGAGAACCCCACCTTTGTGAAATAGAAGACTGCAACTTCTCCGTCCTTTCCAGGCCAGGTTTACTCTCCGCATTTGTGACTTTCCCTTCTCACGGACCGTGAGAATTGCTCGAAAGAGACCTGGGACCTGAAATGATCCGGGGTCGCCAATCTTAATGCGGCCAAGAGGTTGGCTCCCTTGGGTTGCGCCAAGCTATCCAGGAAAGCGGGCGGTGGGGTGTATTGTTCAAGTACATCAATTTGGAGATGCAAAGCAGACACCCCAAATGGGCGACAGATGCTGAAGTAGGGTGGTTATATTGGTTGCTTAATAATGACAGCTTAACGGATGTGGGGAACAAAATGCGCGTTGTTTAATACAAACAAAGCATACCAACGACAAACATCATAGACACTTGCTATAGGGGGAGCTTGCAAGGACATTGGCCGGACACCAGAAGCAAAGACAAGGATTTCTTGTAGAATTTCCTGCTAGGCGCGCCATGATGTGGACGGAGCGGCGGACCTGCGCTACGAAGCCATCCCAGGGGCGCATGTCTTAGCTCGTCTTTGAGGAGGGGCCAAGTTCGGGGCATCAACCTTTTTGGGAGCTCGAACTGGGCGATGTTTACATGGGAAATGGGAACCTTGGATGACCCACATGTCCCCGGATAGCATAGGCTCGGGACCACCAACAAAACCCCCATGCCGTTAACATTGTTGTTTTTGGTGTGACCTTAACCCCTCAGACCTGTTTGGAAACAAAGGCTTCTCGATTACTGTAATCGCAATACATGGGAACCCCTCTTGTTTGGACCCTTTTCGGTAACATGATTGTGTTTGCTAGATTCTGTGTCGTTTAGGGACGGGTCCAGACAACAGGATGTCCTTTGAATGCTGGCTCGGTTTGGATTCTCTATGTTTGCGGGGCAGAACGTGCTCCTGCTCAGGTTTCACGTGGCTGCATTTTTTCCATAGTATGTGTTTTTGCTATGTGGGGATTCCGGATCAAAAGTGTTGAGATGATTGGCATCGTTGTTGTGCGACATAGTTCGGCAGCGTCTCACCCGTTTAGTTTCCACATTGCATGTTGTGTTGCCGGGGTTGTTAACCTTCAAGTCTGTCCAAAAAGTTCACTTTGTTCTAGCATGTTTACTTGTGCCGTTTGCCCCTTAGACCTCTGCGGGCAAAGACATGCTTGAACGTTTGAAGGATACCAAGCTGTAGAGGGATACCAACACTTTTGAGAGATAAGGTGCAGCATCGCATCCGGGAGCTGGAGAAGCGAAAGAAGGACCCGCACAACTCGTCAGTGAAGGCTGTCCAATTGTATCCCATGGGTTACTGGCCGTTTTTGGATGCTCTTTTTCCTTGTTTAATTATTTGGGGGGGAGTCAACCTCAAAATCAATCAAGTCCCCCTGAAAAAATGCTACGATGTGGTGGGAACGGTGTATTTGTGAGCAGGCAGCATGGTTGTGGGCAGTTGAATTACTTTCCACTTTCTTTCATGCGCTTGGGAATCTGCTTTAGAGTGATCAAGCAGGAAAATGTGTTTCTCAAGCTGATTGTGTCCAAGGGGTTGCTTGACACGAAAGCAAGCGCATCGATGCCACGTCTGGGCTATGTACATATATATATATATATATTATATATATATATGCATTGTTTAATGTACGTTGTCACTCGGGCAACTTGATGTGGAACAGAGATCCCTTGTGTGCTACACTCCGCCCGTTTAACGACTTGCAGAGGTTTCTCTTCAATAAGTAGAACTTCAAGATTGGATAGACTCATGGCACTAGCAAGGATGAGCCTGTGTCAGCATCTCTTGGAGCAAACCCTGATCCCAGGAAATCTTATGCCCACCACACGACAGGCGAATGTAATCTTGTGCCAAGAAGCCCAGTTTTTTTCTCCAGGACTTCGATGAGAGCTGCGACACGCCTTTGCTCTGCGAGACCGTCACGCCCATGCACATCGCGGAGGCCGGGCCTCCAAGAAGTTTCGCCCACTGTTTTTTTTGTTTGCAATCGACAAGCGGCCCAAGCAACTATACTGGGTGCAGATGTTTTGCGTTGTGAAAGTGAGGGTGGGAACTATTGGTTTTGTGTACCCATAACACCTGCAGGCCAAAAAACAATGCACCCAGTATATCTCTTTCCAGTTTGAAGGTAAGTCCTGACACGGGAGTTGGTATCACCGCCCGTGTCTGGCGTCTCCTCCACATGTGCTTCTTTTGTTTTGTGAAAGAACACATATTTGGGGGTTGAGTAAATAGATGTGGAACAGACTCCGAGCATTGTTTTTGGTGCACCCCAAGTTGGATGAGTGCAGTTCTCACTGCGGATCATCAGGTCGTCGCTCGCTGGACCGGCATCCCAGTGGCGAAGTTGTCGCAGGGCGAGAAGACCAGGCGCTTCTGGGCCAGAGGTCGGGCACGGATGAAGCCGAATCGCGAAAGTGAAGAATCCTTTTCAACGTGGGGGGCACTTCATGATGCTTGTTGTTGACTCCGGAATTCTGCACACACTTGGTGGTGTTTTTTCTTGTAATTATTCCTCATACAGGCATGGACATGGAGAGAGCGCCATGGACATATGCCGCGTGATAATTTTGTCAGGGGCACCTGGGGTACCTTTCAAGGGGTAACGTCAATTCCGAATTGGATCACAAACTTTGGAGAATCGGAGCCGTGTTTCTCCTACAACCTGAAGGAGGCAAAATTTTAAGATACCCCACGATCGAAACTCACTCGGGGCCCTTGGTAGGAAGCACCGCGAAAGCAACGCCAGGTTGGGATGTTTTGATTCCGGGCGCAGGGTTCCATTTTTAGGCCTTTCTCAAAGGCAAACCGAAGCGGAACCACCATTCTGGGGTTCCCGATTTTAAGATACGCCCAACTATACACGTTAGAGCACTTTGCGAGGGAGCCACCAATCCATTGCACATCCACTCAAGGTCAGAGGAATCAGCGGAAAAGAATCAGTTAGAGCACGTCAAAAGGGGAATCCGTGAAAAGTTGGGGCTACCACCTGTCATGTATGTCTCCCTTTTTGGTTGTTTGCTTTGGGTGCGTCCTTTCTTAGGGACACCCCAAAATGTGAGTTGTCCTTGCGGCTTTCCTTTTGAAAACCGCCGGGCACGGGCGCCCTGGCGAGCCTTATGGAGAATTCCTGAAATATAAGGAACCCTTGGTTCAGAATTTCCCCCCACCCCCGGTCGCCAGGTTGCTCAACCTCGAGCAGGCACTGAACAAGCGAGTGGTGGGCCAGGCGCGAGATCGCTCGAAACGCTTTTGGCCCGGGAGGAGGCAATATAAGGATGGCAAATGGCTCCATGTAGCTGAGAAGGCTGGCCCTTTGGGACTCTCAGGACAGCAAATTACGCAGATTCTTCTATGGTCATTACTTGATCTGGTTTAAAGCCCCTCACAAAAAAGAAATGATTGGTCACCAATTACGCTCTGCTTGTTTCCCCAGCTTGTTTCCCCATTTCAGTAGGGTGAAACGAGACATAGGACTGTCTGAAACCCAAAGAACTTCATGTTCTCTGTGGCACATCAAAGCCAAAGCCTACTTATTGGTCTGAAACGCACGAAGCCAGTGTGAAAGTGAGGGGATGTGTCAACCACTTTGCTTAGTGGCACGAGTGAACCCCAGCAAGTTAAGAGTGAGTGGATGAGAAGGCATTCCAGTGGCAACGCACTTCCTGCCACATGCCGAACAAACTTTGAGCATATGGGGTATCTTCCCAAGGGAAACTTCGCGAAGCCCGCCAAAAGAACATAAGGCCACCACTGGCACATGGGCCAGGACCTGCGTGTTTCGAGTGCTCGAGGAAGCAAGAGACTTTCAACAAGCGAAGTGGCCAGGCCTTTTCACGAGACTGCATTCCATTTGTGCCGGCTTCCATCCACCTACCTGAAGGGTCTGTTTGAGACTTCGCAGTGAAGCTTCCTGAAAGTTTGCGAATGATTCCAGTTCTCTCGGGTAGATGCCTCAATGTCCTTCCCAAGTTCACGAACAAAAACATCAAAAGAAGGTTCCTACAACATGTGTTTCTGTAGCCCTAGAGCATGCCAAAGCTACTCGGGGTATCTTCCCCAGTAGGCAAATCTGTCCAGTGATCCCTCTTTCCGAATGATAGTTTCAAAAGGAGCACACAGACCCTCAAGGAAGTTGAACACCACCGCATCACTCAATGGCATACGTGTATCACTATATTTACCTGTTCGTTTTTTCTGCATTTCTGGAGGTTGCCTGAAAATTCGGCGCCCATGGGTTGCAGGAGGAGGCCGCCTCCGCCGTTGCCCGGGCCGTGCTCCGCAGCGCTGCCAAGCTCTCGCGCAGGAACCAGCCCACAGGCGAAGTCGCGCACGCAAATTAGCCACCCATTTGGCGCGCGTGGGACTCCAGCGATGCTTCCCTTTTCGGACCTTACCTGGCGCTTTCAAAAGACCCCACCAAGGAATTGCAACTGTGGAGTGGGACGTCTAGTGATTGTTTAACGGCTGGTGTCGGACTCGCATTCCCAAGGTCCAAAGGCTTACGAGACCTGGCTATGCCTAAAGATACGTTCAAAGGTTGTGCGCGAAAGTGGATGGCACAATTTCCTTTATGTGGACAAGTTCAAAGGGAATGAATAAGCGGAAATGGGGAATTGTGCCCTTTCGCTTTCACCCAGCTGTACATCTTGATGTTCCTTTTTCAAGTTGTTGTTTTAATGTTTTTCCGCTGGCTTCGGATTAATCCGGACGACCCTAGCAGTCAGAGAACCCCCCTGTAAGAGGTTGTTTCCTTACTACTCAAGGGGGAGCCACCCCCGGTCAGATATTTCCGAAGTTCATAGTATCATGAAACCCAAGTGGTCCCGTACTTTTAGGAGTCTGCAATCCAGGACTGAGATGATTGTTTCCTCATGTCGTCCCCACAATTCAGGAAGCACCCTGATTTGGGGAGCAGATTGGAGGTATCATTGAAGACTTTGCCTCATGCAGTTCAACATGGTGTGGGACATATCATTTGGTCATTTCATGCCGGATAGAGAGTTTCAGCAGAAGTGCATTGTTCCTGGCCAACTTGTGAAGATTGCGCCTCTCCTTGACGGTTGCGTGGATTCTTGATTCATTCACAGGAACATGTTACTTTCATGGGTGGCATGTGTGTCGCAAATTGTGTCATGAGGGAGTCCAACTGCTTGGTTTGACGCACTGCCAGGCTCCTTCCTCTTCGCCGGGCCCACGGGAGTCGGGAAGACCGAGCTGGCAAAGGCGAGTGGGGTGCTGTTCGGTCGGTTAGAGAAATGAGCTCCTTTTGATACGTTCTTTCGAGGCCCACTCGCGGTGCCGAGGTCCCCAACAAAACGAATATGTATTTGCCGCGCCCCTATTCGCCCGATGTCTGAGTGATGCGTTTGCGGGGCTGGATGCCTCGTGGCTCAATGTGAATTTGTGTTTGTGTGGTGTTTTTTTTGTTTGACGGGCTGAGTGGTTCTGGTCTCAAGGAGTGAGGGAAGGAGAGCAACGGAGAGGAAAGGAGAGGAAAGAAGAGGGAAGAAGAAGGAAAGGGGCGCGGGAACTAAGATGGGTGGCAACTTGTTGCAGAACATGTCCTGCGCGTAAGCCTATTTCCGGTGGCACCACACTTGCATTCGGCTTGTGGGCTCTGCTTGACAACGAGTTGGTGCGCTTCTCCTGAATGAATGTTTCAAAGTTTAAATGGAGGCCACTCGACGTTCTTGGCAACAGAAGCAACAGTCAATAGCGTTGGCTCCGCAACTTTCAAGCTCATAAATTGCCTGCGTGGAATGCGTGCATTCCTCGAGTATGCATATACATATATATATATATATATATATATATGGAGTGATGAATGAGGGGAGCAGCAATTTGATACCATGATGCTCTGATCAGCCGTGGCACTTACTGTAGGTTCAGAACAGCAACCTTGAGAGTTCCTTGTGAACACGCAAATCATGCTTTACCAATCCAAGGTTTTGACACCTCATGCCATAACGTGCAACATGCATGCTTTGTGCTGGATGAAGTTTGATCTAGACTCAGCCCTGTTTCTGTCCAAGGCTCTGGCGGCAGAACTCTTCGATGGCGAGAACAAGATGATCCGCCTGGATGCTCTTCATGCGCTAAGACATGTTGTGGTTTTGGTTTCTTCCGATGCGTCACTGAATTGAAGGACAATTATTAATTGTCTCCGCTGAAGGCTGCGCTTGCAGAGGAGCTAGTGCACCACAGAAGTTCAAAACAAATCCAGCCTTGGTCAGTATTTCTTTTCCCTGGGACGTGTTTAATCCTGCATATCATGAAGGATGTTGTGTGTCCCATGGGGCCTTCAAAGATGGATGGCTAAGCGCATTTTGGAAGAGATAACTTCTAGTTAGTTTCCCAAATCTGAGGTGTGGCCGTTTGTTTCCGTAGGTCCATCTGGGAGGGGCATAGGGGGACTCACTCAATTTCTCACCAAAAACGAATAGTCCAGTGCCCTCTGAGGGATGCAACTATATGATTTTGACTACGTATGTTGAGAACAGAAAGGCCAACAACATTGGGATCTCTTTCGAAAAGAGTACATGTTCAGGCTTGCTAAGATCAAAACATCAGATTTGATTGGCAAGCGCTGTGGTAGAAATGGAAACAACATTTTCGTGATCTATCCCTTCAAAGGAAACACCCCATGTTTTTCAGAAAACAGCTCCTACCTCCGAAACACACACCTTCGGTTTTTGTCGTTGGTTGGTGTTTTTGGGTCCCTGGGTGCGTGGGGCTTGCGCTGGAGGACATGTCGGAGTACATGGAGCAACATGCGGTGAGCCGCCTCATTGGCGCGCCCCCGGGCTACGTGGGCCATGATCAGGGCGGCCAACTCACTGAGGCCCAAAATGCTCAGCTTTCCGGTTGTTGGGGGTTTGTCTGGCTGGTTTTGGCAGGGGTTGTCTATTTTGCCATAGACCAAGAAGCAAAGCTGCTGAGGCTCAAGCCGCCCGGGCTCAGGCATAGGCGACCACCAGGAATATTGCAGTGATTCTCCCCAGGCCGCCACCCTAAACCAACCTAAAACCAACCCCAACCCACCTGAAGCCACAATCTTAAACCCAGCCTAAACCAACCCTAAGCCAACCAAAACCCACCCAAATACCACCTAGCCTAAAGCAATCTGGGATCCACCACTCACCCTTTCCCAACCCAAAGCCACATTGACATGCACCCACCCTTAGCCAAAGCTAAGTCAACCCTAAGCACCTTTCCCATCCTAAACCAACCCCAAACCCACCGTCAGCAGACCCGAAAACCGACCTGATAGACCACGACTCTGCGGGATGCCTAGTTTTTTTCACCAAGGGTTGTTGCTGATGGCTTGTGGAGAAAGATTCGGACCCCTCGACAATTCTTAGGCGTGCTTGAGGTTTACAGAAACAAGCGTTGTTTCTCATGGCCCCAGAAGAAATTCATACCATGCCGTTTTTCGGAAAGATCCGGGTGACTGGAAATCGTGGTTGGAAGTTGACCCACCAGAAAAAGAACAACTTGCCATGCCCATGCCCCCCCCCTCCCGTCCCCCTCATGCGAGGGGAACGTGGCGCCAGGCGTTAAGGCGCCACCCCTACAGCGTGGTGCTCTTCGACGAGATGGAGCCCCTGGGATTTATTAGCTGATCGATCCGAGAGGTTTTTGACCCTGCTTCATCAACCTGTGGGATCAATACATCACACAATACATTGGGGTGCGGAAGGTTGGTTTGGTTTCCCTTCCACCACCAACAAAACGGGTTTTACAATTTGGTGTCTCAGAATGAGACCCAAAAAATGGCGCAGGGTTCCTGTTGGTGTCCCTCTCAAAACGCCCAAGAAAGGGAGCCCCAAAAAGGCACGCCCAGATGGGATGGATGAGAAGAGAAGCCAAGCTCGGGGTGTTGTTGATGTTTCCTTTTTGAACATCGCCCAAAAAGTAACTCGCTCAAATGATCCCAGAGGTTTTACTGCTCAATCAGTGGTTTAATGTTGCTGTCTACGGGCTGGATGTGAGTTTAAAAATTGCAAAATCATGGGAGGGGGTGGAGATCTGGGAGTGTATTAACCTTGGCTGCTGGGAAATGTGAAGGGGCCCCTGTCAATGGACCCTGAATCAATGCGTGCCTTTTAAGCTTCCACCTCCGGAAGACTGCTCTTGGTTGGACGTTCAGCTTGTTTCTTGTTGCTTGAAAATGCATGCGTTCAACCACTCGCTACCAAAAGTCGAATTGCGAATGGAGTCGTGAGGTTCACACCGACAACAATTGTAATTATCCCCAACTCGCTTATTCATATTCAAACATATTCCCTCTCTGGTTAAATCTCCCTTTTGTAGTACTCGTAGTGTTGCACTCATTCTTTCTGTTTACGTTAACGAGAGTGCCCTTCCTGAGGAAGGCTCACCCTCAAGTGCTGAACGTTCTCCTGCAGCTGCTGGATGATGGCCGTATCACTGACAGCCACGGCAGGACAGATGCTCAGGGGTCCATTCGCAGGGGTCCATTCGCAGGGGTTCACCAGGGTTCGAAAGTTGTTTAGTCGATCAGGCCAGGTCCCTTATTAGAAAGGGAAGCCAACAGGTTCTCCATGGGGTGTTGGTATCCACCATGCATTGAGTCATGGTCCACAATAGGGTGAAGCATCCGACCTTTCTCAGGGTTCCCGTATTTTCCCTTAAAGGTTGATTTTAAACATCGCCTTCCGGCTACCAATTCAAAGTGAGATTCCTTGAATCTTGTTTCTATTCTGTAAAGAACCCCGAGATTCCCACCTGACGGGGAGATCGTTCCCCCAGTTCCGAGTCACGAAATCGGACGAGACCTGTAGGACGGTGGACTGCAGCAACTGCGTGGTGATTATGACCTCCAACCTGGGCTCGGAGCACCTCATGCGCCTCAAGTCGCCGCTTGACTCGGAGATCGGCGACCGAACCGACGGGCAAAGCTTTGGGGAGAAAAAACGGCCTTACCCGGGTTTTGCTGGGGAAGCCAAAAGGAGATGGGTCAATCAAAAGTGGTCTAAGCGTGTTGAAACAATGGGCTGGCCATTAGATAAAGGGCGACCCTTCGCTTTGAGTGGAAACGCCCCTGATTTCAGGTTGAATATGTTGAAAAGATGGTGCCTGGTCTTAGGGTGTTCGTTGCTGGTCTTACGAAGAGCAGGAATGTCTTAATGTGGGGCTGTGAAAGAGCTGCTGGTGGTGTAGCTTTGATCCGGACTGCATGTTGCCATTCCGAGTTGCGACCGGCGCCGGTTAGATTTGATCCAGAGATGGAAACGGTGCCACTACAAACTGAAGCATCATTTCAAGAAGCGTTCGTCAGGCAATGGCCGAACGGATTCTGTTGAATGCATTGGACGACTAGGCCGCGGCACGCAACCAAGCCATGCAGCGCTCAGGGCATGGGGTACTGGACAGAAGATGCAAAACATCTGCCAGGTGTGGAAGACTAGGTTCTGGAGGGAAAGCCGATGCTCCTGCTTCTTGCCACTTGCCTACGCCTCCTCGGTTGATCTGAGTTGAAGGTTGGAATAGCCTTGATTTGGTCAGAATTTCCAAAGAACACCTAGATGCTGGAGTTGCACTTGACTGTGAGGATCACTGAGATGGAGAACGCCAAGGGCAAGGTCATGCAGGTGATCCGCTCAAGCCTGAGGCCGGCTTGGGCGAGCGAAGGGTAAGAAGTGCCGAGCGTTCCGTGAACATGTGAGCAAGGATGGCCGTGTTGCCGAGTGCTTCGTTCCGGTCTACAACTGAGTGTCGGTTTATTTGTCCGCTCAAGCAAACATGTATAGATGTTGACATATCAACAAAACAGGAAGGGCCGTGCCCGCAATCGCGGAAGATTCGCGAAAGGTTTCCGGAGAATGATGATTTGCACATAGTGGTTTCATGTCGGTTGGGTGATTGTTGCCAAGCACGTTTACTAGCAAACCGTGCGCACGAATTGCCTCGCGGAAGCTACCTTCCTGGCCTTGGTTTCCAGGAGCAACTTGCCTGCGGAAGGCCCGCGGAAGCACTTATCCAAACTTATATAGAAAGATGCTCGCGGAAGGTGCCCTTCACACCGTGGAAGCTTTGCGGAAGGTTTCGCGGAAGGGTTTGATACGTCAATGCAAATTTGAAGGGAATAACAACCACCACTCAACTGAACCAAGAGGGCTTGGCATGGCTTGACCGCTTTCTCCGGGCATGGCAAACCACGGTTTGCAATTAAGGCCTTGACCTCCAAACTGTTCCAATACTTGAGGGTATAGACTGATTATTACTGCGGGACAAAAGGGAATCCCACAAAAGGGTGGCTTACAGTATCCCTTCGCCTTGAATGATTCAACACCACCCCAAACCGGGTACCCTCAAAAAAGCGCAGCCGACATGAAACAGCCCCACTTCGACCAGGCCAGAGCTGTTGAACCGCCTTGACGACGTTGTGGTCTTCCACCCGCTGAGCCGCGAGGTACTTCGACAGGCTCGGGCGCATGGGCCGCGATTCGGGCAAATGCGTTTTGGGGGGAAACAACTCCGCGGTTTGGTGTCAAGTTGACCAACCTATCTTTTTTGAAGCTTCAGGTACTAGATGTGGGGTTGTCTCAATATGGGGGAACCCCCAAAGTGGCTGGTTTTCTTTTGGTGTCCCCAATCACTGAATATCGGCCACAATCAAAGATCTGTCTTTGGGCGCGAGCTGATGTGCTAACATCAAGCTTGCTGTCACTGGTTCCTAACGGGGGCCCGAAGCATTTGGCTCCTATTGTCCCCCTTGTTAAAGTGATCTCCAAAAACGGGTCGGTCTCAAGCGTTGTTTGGCGCAAACTGCAGCATGCGCGTGGGGTCCAAACACAACTTCACTCAGAAGAATCGCGCAGGCTTGGGGGGAATTCATCCAATTCCTTTGGGGAAACATTTGCAGTTGCTATGCGAAACTGGAAGACTAAGCTTTGGGGGTCCCTTGCACGGTTGGGCATTTTACCCAAAGTCTGGTCCATTGGAAATTCCAGTCTTTGCCCTTTTAGCCAGCAACCAGCTGACATATCCTGGGGATCTCCGAAATGATTTTGCATTTTGGGGTAGATTATATATATATATGACAATGTGATGTTTCGTTTTCCCTTTGGGCAGCTTGCCAAGTCATACTGGCTGAGTAGGCACAAGGGCCACAGCCGCAGGTGGTGCGGCTGCAGCTTGCAGACGTGCTGGCAAGGTTAGACGAGTTGGAGGCAGGATTGGATTGCTAGATACTCAAGCTTCGAATATGGAAGTGAGCAACTGATTGCATCTTCAGAAGTCTATGGCTGGTTTGAAGAGGACATGGTGGGGGCCCAAATTCTCCAAATTGTTCCTTGAAGCTGCCTACGCAGTGCATAGTTGGGAGCTGCTCGGGCTCGGTGATTTGAAAGAAGGCTTTTGCAGCAGCAAGTGTTGAATTGGTGCGGTGACCACAAAACGAAGGGTCAATATGCGCAGTTGGCCAGTTGTCCCGCTTCTGGTTGTGGGAAATGGGTATCAGGACCACTTGCTGCGATACCAATGGAATGAAAGCAGTGCTGAGAATGGCCTGCTTTGGTAGTTATCACTAGCAGGTTTTCCGCAACCATTGTCCTGTTGGCTTCACTTCAAATGGGTTGGACTTGCTCGACTGCTTGACAGGTTTCCATGCACGTCACTGATTCAGCCGTGGACTTCATCCTCAAGGACCCGTTTGCTGCGGATACGGATCTGCAGGGACAGATTTGTGATGTGTCCCTCAAGCACGAAAGTGTCAGACCTTGAAGGAGGCAAGAAAGGAAGCACGGAAGCCAGCAAGCGAGGAAGCCAGAAAGCAAGGAAGCCAGGAAGGCAGCCAGGAAACAAGGAAGGAAGGAAGGAAGGAAGGAAGGAAGGAAGGAAGGAAGGAAGAAAGCAAGGAAGGAAGGAAGAAAGCAAGGAAGCAAGGAAGAAAGTTATTCTTTAGTCTCTATCAACATGATCTCACTCCTTGAATCTTTGGACTTAATCCTTTCTGGAAGACCATGCACATGCAAGAATTCGAGGGTTTGCTGGCAGCCATGACCTTTGAACACAGGCGATTGTGGCTTGCCACGTTGTTGGATTGCCCTGCTGGAAGACGGCCGATGGGGCAGATTAGCTTCGCTGGTACAATCATTGGTGTCCTTCCTGCTCTCCACATTTGTCAGGGCAGTGAGGGGTAAGTGTGCGGGAAGGGGGGCATGGTCATGGCTGCTGAGACTGGCTGTTACAGGACCCGCTCAAAGGACTGGCATTGCCATAATGCATCCCAGAGCTCCCTATATGTCCCCCTCTTTGGGGTTTTTCAGCTTCACTTTTTGGCTGCCAATTAATTTAACGTGAGTTTCTTTTGGTGGAGGGGAAAGAAAGGGAGCCCTTTATGCGCGGGAAGGTCTTGCTCTCAGGCCCGACACGATAGGCGGACATCAGCTCCACGTCGCGCCAAAGAATTCCAGGCTCATGGGCCTGTCTACTCACCAGAAAGGTTCCCAGGACCCTTTTTAAGAAGGGTTCTGAGAACGTGTGGTTTTCTTCCTGGGTGCGTCTCAAACTTGGATGTTTAACCAACATAAGTATTCTATAACTGTTGCAACTATGCTTAGAACTTGAGTAACCTGGGCTGGTACCCTTGCAACCAGGCCTGTGACAAACTTGCTAAGTTGGTGAGCATCCATAAGCGAACGCCCAAAATGAGTGGTTTACCTTTGACCCTTGTAAACCAAGCAAAGGGGCTGGTACCCTCAGCAACAGAGACACCCGTATGCTCAAAGAAGCTGCCAAATTGTGGAGATCTACCAGAATGTCCAATACTCCCAAACCGCTACCCCACAGGAAAATATGTAAATCAGAATCCAAAAACTTCAACGGGTCCAACTGGTAGGGCAAAAACCCTCGACCCGCCCGCTTTGCCGTCAGGAGGCCTTCGACCCCGAGCTGGGTGCGCGCCCGCTGAAGCGCTTTTTGGAGAGGCACCTGGTCTCCAGGCTCAGCACCTTGCGACTCGGACAGCGGAGCGACTCCTTTTGCTCAATGTGCTGGTGTGATAGGCAGGGAATGCCTTAAAGGATTCCCTGAATGGACCTGGGGATTTCCTTGAAGGAACCATAGGGGATGGTTTATAGGGGTTCCCTGATTCCCTGCTGAGCACCAGCAAGACTTTCGAGGGAGTTGTCCTTCGAGGGACTGACAACGAACTGCTTCGAAGGCAGCAGAGGGGTGGGACTGGGGACTGGGGAGTGGGGACTGGGGACTGGATGCGATTTTGCCTTGGCTCCCAGCCATGAGCCGGTGGTTTTTGATTGGAGTTGGGCTTATGCTATTTTACCACAAAACGAGCGAACGAGCACACGCGAGGCTTCCATGCACCAGCTAGTTAGACTTTGAGACTCTTGAAGTTTAGAGGGTTTTTATACAGTGTCCCACGAAAGTCTGCTTTTTTTTTAAACAGGGATCAATGTACCACTATGTTCAGGGTTCCCATTGGACAATGAAGTTCAATGGGGAACCCTCCACGTGGTTGGCGGGCATAAATCCCAAAATGTTGTCAGAAACTCGCCAATCAACATGCCCTTTGGGCTGGTTTAAACTCACCTTCTGCATAGGCAAGTTTCTGATGGTGATGATGTAAGGTGAAGCCTGTTCGCATTTGACTCCCCAAAGTGGAGTTAAACCCAACGGTTCCGATTCCTTGGCCAACCCCCTAAATCGAACACGTTTTTGGCTCTTGGCCCTTTTGGCTCCTTCATGTCCGCTTTCAAGTAGCGAACAGGCAAGACAGGACCTCAGCCATAAAAGCTCCTTCTGGGGAGTCCCTCACTCATTCAGGTTTTCAACATAGCTGGGATCTCTTGAATGATTGTTTAGGGTTCACTGAATATGGACAAGAATCAACCATATGCTTGAATTTTGTTTGGCTTCGGGAGAAACCTGAGGTGTGCGGGGCCTTTCCGGATTCCGAGGTTCGGGTTTTCAAGGGTGCCTGGGAACGCGCTGGTTTTCGCTGAGGATTTTGGAGGATGCCCTTCCACCTGGCAGCGCCGCCTGATGCCCAGCAGTTGGGGAAGGGCATCCGTCAGGGTCCCTCAGTTTCGCCGGAGAGCAGACCGTTTTACCAGTTTTGGAGGATATATTTTTGGGATGTATCGCTGCGCAAAGGCATTCTCATTTGTGTCCTGGGCTTCTCGTCAAGGAGCGAACATAGAAGTTACCCCTTTTCTCATGGCAATTGGGCAGATATGACAAGGAAAGGCTCCACGGCATGATGCGCAATGCATTGTCGCATATTGTGAGGACTTGATGTCTCTTCACCTGTAGTTGCAAACACATATCAGGTTGGTTCAGCGCCCATGTGTTCAGGCCTCATGACATGCGATCTCTGCATGTACATCATGTGAGGACACCTGAGCTGTAATGATGCTTCAAGCCCTTGAAACGCCGCACAGATGTGACCAAACATAATCCACACGCATCGTGCTGGCCGGAAAAGACAACAGTGCCAAGTGGGGTTTCTTATATGTCTTTGGTGGCTTTAAGCATTACCTTTTGGGCCCTTTGGTGGGGTAATGTTCAAAGGAAGCATAGGGAGCACTGTGCATTCACGCGTTGCAGCAAGGTCAGTGTGGACCGCACCACGCGCAATGGCGTGGAAGACTGGGACTTCCGCATCACCACTGGTCCTAAGAGGCCCTTGCCTGATGTGCGTTTGGCTTTGGAGAGGGTAAGCTTGGAGAACGTCTTTGCAACATGCGTTGAACTTGGTTTCATTGCGCCATGTTTATCGGCTGCTGTTGCAGCGAGGTTGCAATCAACAGGCAGCATACTAAGAGAAGGAGGCGCACACTAAGAGGTTGAACAGGGAGGCGCACACTAAGAGTGTTTGATTGGTCGGGCAACTTTGCTGCATCGTGTCATGAAGTTTGCACATCTCAATGTCCTGGTCAATGGCGCACGACGTGTTGCGTGTTGTCTCTCCTTTGGTGTTGCTAGTAGTTGTGCTTGTGCTTGGCGCATTTGTGGAGGAGAACCGCAATTCACAGCCAAGTCAGGAACCCGAAAAAACAACGGCGAGCCATGGAATCGATCACACAGAAAGACTTGTCCATGCATCCCTCAGAGTGTTTCTTGCGCGATTCACCGTTTGACCTCATGCCAGGCAGCGCACTGACCAGTAGTGCGGCCAAGGAAAGGTCCGAAAATGTGCCGGATAAGAAAGGAAGGCAAGTGGACACCAAGACAAGTTCTGATTCTTGCGGATGATTTCACACATACACAAGCACCACTCCAGAGAAATCGTCCGACACTCGGGTAGTTCTTCCTGTACAGTCCGTGCCCGAGACTCAGAAGAGTATGCGGAGTTCTCTTCTGACTCTATTTGCGAGGTTTTTAGTGGACAGCACATTTGGCACGGTTGTTGACAACCGGAGGCCATTTGGCGTGGGATGGATCGATTTGCTTGCCGAGCCAGAGAATTTGTGTTTCATTGAAGGTTGATTCTGATGTATACTTTTGAGACGGCTTGGCAAACAAGCCACATACATGTACAGCCAAGTGGTGTATCGTTCCTTTATCAGTCTCGAATTGTAGCAATTGTCTGAGCTGTGCTTCAGGCAATCAAAGACCAGAATTTGCCCGGGGTAAGTGCGTGAAACAATCAATATTTTGTTTGAGGGCTCTGCAATAGAGGACAAATATATATTATGTATCTCTTTTTATACCTATATATAAATACCTTATCTCTCTCAAACAAAATAGGTTGATTGTTATATTATTAAAAATAATATATATTGAAAAAATCGGTGTATTATCGTACAGCCGATGTAGTTGCATGTTGGCCGAATTGTTGTGTTTGTGGCGAATATGTTTTATGATATAAATTGTTTCTTTTTAGGGATTTGAAATTTGTGTGTTATAATTTGATTAATCGATTAAATTAAAAGGTGTTGAATTTGATTTTTATATTTGATAATTTTGGGATTTATTTGTATTGAAATTGTTCGGAAAAGAGAAAAAATATGTTTTTAGATGGTTGAAAATATATATATATATATATGTATATTTTTAATCTCAGATTGTTTTGGGAATATTGTTGTTTTTTGTGTGTGTTTTGTATTATTGAATTTTTATATTTTTGTGATTTCGATTATTTTGTTTTGTTTGTTTTTGTTTATTGGTATTGTGTTGTTGTTGTTTATTTATTCGATCGATGGTGGTATTGTTTTATTATTATATTTTATTTAAATATATAAGATGTTGTTGTGGTTGTTATTTTGAATGATTATTATAATTTTGGAATTCTTTTTATTTATTAAACAAAATATATTGATTATATTGGATTTTCGAGATAAAATTAAATATTGAAGTATATATGATTGCAAATCCAATATAAATTGTTGGTGGGGATATGTTTGTTATATTTTATAAAACAATTGCGAAATATATAGTTTTGATTATATTGATATTTCATTATTGATTGATATTTATGAAGCTTTTATATCGATTTTTCGGCGCCCCGAAAATAATGATTTTTCGTTTTAAATTTTATATGTTAATATTTATTTTATTAATATATATGTATTTCCTAAATGATTAATTATTGGGTATATTGATATTTTATGATATTATTTAAAATTATAAATATATTATAATATATTAGATATAATTAAATTAATATATTTATATAATCTATAATTATATTGAAATTTAATACATATATAAAATTATAATTAATTATGTATTTATTTAATTTTTAAATTAATATAAATTTGATTTAAAATATAATTTAAATATATATATATTAGATTTTTAAACCTAAAATTATTAATATATATCTAAAAATACAAAATTCAATTTCAATATAATATGTTTCTAGGAATATTAAATTTACATCTCTATTTTTTATTTAGGATTCATTTTTTTGATTATTTATATATATCAATATTCTCAATATTCAATAAATATATCCAACCAAATAGATTTCAAGCTAAATGTAATATTTAAATATAATATAATATTAAAATAATAAAATAAAATATCGAATTATTAAGAATAGTATATATATTTTTATATATCATTATTCCTCCCCATCTTAAATTACCTCTTCATAGTTAGTTATCTATGTTTTTCCATTTTTAAAATACAATTAATTTAATTAAAATTCCTATTTCGAAATATTTTTACAATTTAAATCTTTTTCTCTTAAAATATCTTTTTACAATACCATCTAACAAAAAACAATCAAACCATTTTTATATAAAAAATAACCGAAATATTCATAACATAAATTATGATTCGATATACACAATAATATAATAATAATAAAAACCAACAACAAATAAAAATAACAACAACCAAATATTATATAACTAATAATAAAATTATAATAACCAATACAAAATAACAAACAAATAACAAAAAAACAAAAAATAATAATAATAATAACAACCAAACAACAAGCAACAATAATAAATAAATAACAACAAATACATAACAAACAAACAATAACAAATACAAAATAACAATAACTAACAATAATCAAACAATAATAAATAAACAAAATCAATAACAAATACGAAATAATAATAAACAACAACACATATTCAATAACAAATAATCAACAACAAACAATCAAAAACAAACAAACAACAACAAACAAACAAACAACCACAGACAAACACACAAACAAACAAACAAACAAACAAACGCAAACAAACAAACAGACAGAGAGAAACACAGACAAACACACACAGACACAGACAAACGCAGACAATCACAAACAGACACAGACAATCACAAACAAACACAGACACAGACAGACACAAACAAAGACAGACAAACACAGACAGAGACAAACAGACACAAACAAACACAGACAAACACAGACAGAAACACACAGACACAGACCGAGACAGACAGACAAAGACAGACACAGACAGACACAACCAGACACAGAGAGACAGACAGAGACAGACAGAGTCTGCCTGTGTCTCTGTCTGTCTGTGTGTCTCTGTCTGTCTGTGTTATTCTGTCTGTCTGTGAGTTTCTGTCTGTCTGTGTGTTTCTGTCTGTCTGTGTGTTTCTGTTTCTGTCTGTCTGTCTGTTTGTCTGTCTTTGTCTGTCTTTGTCTGTCTTTGTGTGTCTTTGTCTGTCTGTCTGTCTTTGTCTGTCTGTCTGTTTGTTTCTGTCTGTCTGTCCGTCTGTCTCTGTTTGTCTCTGTCTGTCTCTGTTTGTCTCTGTCTGTCTCTGTCTGTCTCTGTCTGTCTCTGTCTGTCTCTGTTTGTCAGACAAGACAGACAGACAGACAGACAGACAGACAGACAGACAGACAGACAGACAGACAGACAGACAGACAGACAGACAGACAGACAGACAGACAGACAGACAGACAGACAGACAGACAGACAGACAGACAGACAGACAGACAGACAGACAGACAGACAGACAGACAGACAGACAGACAGACAGACAGACAGACAGACAGACAGACAGACAGACAGACAGACAGACAGACAGACAGACAGACAGACAGACAGACAGACAGACAGACAGACAGACAGACAGACAGACAGACAGACAGACAGACAGACAGACAGACAGACAGACAGACAGACAGACAGACAGACAGACAGACAGACAGACAGACAGACAGACAGACAGACAGACAGACAGACAGACAGACAGACAGACAGACAGACAGACAGACAGACAGACAGACAGACAGACAGACAGACAGACAGACAGACAGACAGACAGACAGACAGACAGACAGACAGACAGACAGACAGACAGACAGACAGACAGACAGACAGACAGACAGACAGACAGACAGACAGACAGACAGACAGACAGACAGACAGAGACAGACAGAGAGACAGAGAGACAGAGAGACAGAGAGACAGAGAGACAGAGAGACAGAGAGACAGAGAGACACAGAGAGACAGAGAGACAGAGAGACAGAGAGACAGAGAGACAGAGAGACAGAGAGACAGAGAGACAGAGAGACAGAGAGACAGAGAGACAGAGAGACAGAGAGACAGAGAGACAGAGAGACAGAGAGACAGAGAGACAGAGAGACAGAGAGACAGAGAGACAGAGAGACAGAGAGACAGAGAGACAGAGAGACAGAGAGACAGAGAGACAGAGAGACAGAGAGACAGAGAGACAGAGAGACAGAGAGACAGAGAGACAGAGAGACAGAGAGACAGAGAGACAGAGAGACAGAGAGACAGAGAGACAGAGAGACAGAGAGACAGAGAGACAGAGAGACAGAGAGACAGAGAGACAGAGAGACAGAGAGACAGAGAGACAGAGAGACAGAGAGACAGAGAGACAGAGAGACAGAGAGACAGAGAGACAGAGAGACAGAGAGACAGAGAGACAGAGAGACAGAGAGACAGAGAGACAGAGAGACAGAGAGACAGAGAGACAGAGAGACAGAGAGACAGAGAGACAGAGAGACAGAGAGACAGAGAGACAGAGAGACAGAGAGACAGAGAGACAGAGAGACAGAGAGACAGAGAGACAGAGAGACACAGAGACAGAGAGACAGAGAGAGAGAGACGGAGAGACGGAGAGACGAGGACACGGAGAGACGGAGAGACGGAGAGACGGAGAGACGGAGAGACGGAGAGACGGAGAGACGGAGGACGAGGGGAGAGACCGGAGAGACGGAAGAGACGGGGAGAGACGGGGAGAGACGGGGAGAGACGGGGAGAGACGAGGAGAGAGACGGAGAGAGACGAGAGGGAGAGACGGAGAGAGACGGAGAGAGACGGGAGAGACGGACGAGAGACGGAGAGAGACGGAGAGAGACGGAGAGAGACGGAGAGAGACGGAGAGAGACGGAGAGAGACGGAGAGAGACGGAGAGAGACGGAGAGAGACGGAGAGAGACGGAGAGAGACGGAGAGAGACGGAGAGAGACGGAGAGAGACGGAGAGAGACGGAGAGAGACGGAGAGAGACAGAGAGAGACAGAGAGAGACAGAGAGAGACAGAGAGAGACAGAGAGAGACAGAGAGAGACAGAGAGAGACAGAGAGAGACAGAGAGAGACAGAGAGAGACAGAGAGAGACAGAGAGAGACAGAGAGAGACAGAGAGAGACAGAGAGAGACAGAGAGAGACAGAGAGAGACAGAGAGAGACAGAGAGAGACAGAGAGAGACAGAGAGAGACAGAGAGAGACAGAGAGAGACAGAGAGAGACAGAGAGAGACAGAGAGAGACAGAGAGAG